GTGGAGAGAGAGAGAGAGAGAGAGAGAGAGAGAGACAGAGAGACAGACAGAGAGACAGACAGAGAGACAGACAGAGAGACAGAGAGATAGAAGGGGTGGGAAAAAGAGAGAGGGAGAGGGGAGGGAAAGAGAGAGAGGGGGGGGGAGAGATAGAGACAAAGAGAGACAGACAGAGAGAAGGAGAGAGTGAAAGAAAGAGGGGGGCGAGAGGGAGACAGACAGACAGACAGACAGACAGGCAGACACACAGACAGGCAGACACACAGACACATAGACAGACAGACAGACAGACAGGCAGACACACAGACACACAGACAGACAGACAGACAGACAGACAGACAGACAGACAGACAGACAGCGTCGGTTATGAACCGTCATCAACAAGTTCCACACCTGGGAATGCCTGGGACAGGTTACTCAGCCAGAAGAGACAGCAGACCAAAGTTGGAACACTTTCACACCATCACACACTAATCAGAAACGCGGATTTGCATATTATTTCACAGTATGCATTATGTTGCCTGTTTGTCTATACTTCAGATTAACCCTATCGAATTTTACTGTCGTATCCATACGACGTGGGGAACTCTGTGCTTCCACTTTCCAAAGAGTAAATTTACTCGTTAATCCGATCCGTACGCTTTGCATAGCAGTCTGTCAAAATGATTTTTTTGAAAAATACTGAACGTTTCAGAGAGATTTTCGCACTAGAAGCATTCTAAAATTTAATGTGAAGAATACAACCCCTGGAGTACAAAATGACCCCAGGCATACGGATAGGGTTAAGAAAAGAGAGTCGAAAAATCTGTCTGACTTACGAACAGTTAAACTCCTTTTTTTAAAGTGTCATAAAACTGCGCATCTTCGAGTGATATCGAGTTTCTTCCCCACAATCACAGATAGACTAAGGGGGCAACGATTTGAAGACGAGGAAGAAATTGTTGCCTTCAAAACAAATTAAATGTAATGCTGCGCTAAGGACTCTGGCCGAAACGGACATGGTTATTGTGTTTGACCGTGGGCTACATCGCAGGAGAAAGTGCACTAAGATCAATGGTTGTTAACCCTTTCACTGCTTGGCCCGAGAAATGGGTGATAAGGCAAATCTTCGACAAAAAGCGCGTTCCATAAATCTTAATTTATAGAGGAAAATATAATTAATTGCAGACTACTTTTTAGTTTGATTTTAGATTTTTGGCAGATCTATCGTCATGGATGGTTGGCGGGTGCTCTGGTGTGGTTTGCTCCTTCTTTCCTATTAAACAACTATCGTCTTTATCTCTCCTCCT